CATCCGGGCGCTCATAACACGCTGATGTGTGTTCCTTTGCCGGATGTTTGAAGGTTGGGACGGGCGGGACGTCGGACGCATCAGCAGCCCCCAACGCGTTGTTCTGCAGGTTTGACGGATGAAATAGCTTCGAAGATGTGTCACCCAACCACAAAGGCAGCTGCCTGTCCTCCTCTGTTCAGGTTTGGCGGTCTTTAGAAAACTTAAATTGACAATCCTGCTGTTAATTCATGAATTTTGGCCATCTCGATTGTTTGTACGGCTTGATTTTCGAATTTTCACGGATTTATGTATGAATCGTGATATCTTAGATCGGGTACCCGGCCAAAGTAAACCATTTCGCCTGTTTTCGGGTCGACTGTTGTCGTTTGGTCGCGGAAATGGTGACCACCCATTCGGCGCCTGAATTCGCCGAGGTTTTACTGCCGCCAACGGCTTTGCTTTTTAAGTCCTCTCAAGTTTTATTATGCTTCAACCAAAGGTGTAATTGAGTAATGCTGGTGCCGAGACCGTTCCGAGTCCCTTCCGCACCAATCCAGCCAAAATAATCACAAACGCTTTCCCTGGCAACTTCAAATTGAGCTCTTTGCCCATTTTGGTCTTGAGCAGCGTATGGCGTCAGCACCACTCGAAGCCGAGAGGTGTTGTAGACCTTCCAGGTCATTTTTCAAAGTAAGGTCACTTTTGTTAGATGAGGCGAAAACAAACACGACCAGTCATGTTCCATAACAGCCCGCGCTCATACAAAATCTCCACTGACGGGCGAAATTGTAAGAAAATACATGTTCGCGTAATTACTTTCCACCCTGTACGCCGAATCGCGATTCCGGCCAAACATGGTCTCGAAAAGTAGGTCGCAGGTCAAAGGTCATTAAGGTCAGGGTCATGACAATTTCAGGGTGGGTGTAAAATTGATTAACGCGAGGGTAACGAAAGTTTCGTCGCGATCGGCCGCTTTTTACGCGAGTTATTCGCGAAAAACCGAGGGAGAGGGGTCCGTTCGACCCCCCCCCTCTATACGGGCGAGGGTTAAGTTGATCTCACCCGAAGAAAAAGTATACCATTCGACACGCCTGAGCTAGAGAAACACGATGCTGCTAAAATCGCGGATCTGCGATCATTTTTAGCGAAGTTATTGACCAAAAACCGAACCTGTGCCTTGGGCCACTTGACCTGACCTCCGAAGTCATCGGCTGACCCTGGTCCTTAAATCGGAGACCAATCGCTGCATTTCGTAACGACGCACACGATCGTTTCTTTCGTGAGGCTCTAGCTCAAGTAGGGGCGAATCGGCGAAGGGGGTTGTTTCCTCACTTCCAACCCCCAACGTCCCCTCGGTATTCAGAAAACCTGAAGGTCCGGCGAGGGTTAAAACGTTTCTCCTGAACGAGGAAGAAATGTAAAAGTCAAAGCTCTATAGACGTCCTGTAAAAGTGGCCATAATAATAAATTCGTTAGAAATAAGATGCTTTTTAAACGACTTCCTCATATAAAATCGGGTGCTGGGACCAATCTTATAAACGCTTTAGAATGGACAGGGCGTCACTGGCTAAAGTTTGGGTGCAGAAAACGGCTATTACCTAAATGCAAAATGGTTTTCATGCATTTCAGTCAATTGTATATTGTCGGTCCCAGTGGCCGAGCTAAAAAAAAAAAAATCGGTAGTGTTTTGCATCTTTCACGCCCTAAGAAACTACACCATCTATCGAAGTGGGCGGGCTTATTTGAATGGGAGGGCGCATTATGCACGAATCGAGTGCTTTCGTTTATTTTGGACTGTATTTTACCACATCCACTGCTGGTATCACTATTAATATTATCTAATGCCGTGAATACGACAGCATTCCATTTATAAGATTGGGCCAATGGAGTCGCGCCCCGCGAGCTCGGTTTTCCGCTGGGCCGCTACAGGCCAGGAAGTCGGGTTTCGCCTGAGGGCAGGACAAAGGTCAGCGAGGGAGCGCGGGGTCAGCCAGGTATCGCCAAGTGCCGAGCGGATGCCGCTCCCTCCCCTCTCTTCCCCTCTTCTCCCCTCCCCACCTCGGTATAGATGGGGAGGGACCGAACTGCCAATGACATGCGAGCGGTCAAGGCCGCTCGCGCGGCAGCGACCCTGGCGGCCGGGTGCCGCAACTGAGATTCAGCCAAGTTACCGATTCGCCTCCTGTGGGAGAGCCAAACCAGGGGACATACTTTTTAGATATACTGTACAGTAACATACATACGTCATGATATTGTTCATACGCTCATTCCGCTCAATCCTACTCCTTCCTTCACAATCCACAATACTCCTCTCAACACAATCCTGTGTAAAAACTTCAATCAACTGCATTTCAAAACTCACAAAATTCGAAAACTCAATGACCAAATACTTGTTACAGGTTTGAAATAAAGCCAGATGAGTAAATTCGCTCAATCATTTCAATATCTGAACGATCATGGGGTCGCGTGATTGACAGGTCTTCCTGCGTTGACACAAGACATGGACCTCACTATCGTTCACACCTATGTCGTCAACATCAAATAACTGATATGGATGGTTACGCATTGGACCTAGCCAGGCCCTTTCAATAACAGCAGACAACAAATTGCCGTGTGCCATTTGCATACAAATTATTCGAGGAAAAAACAACCAATATGATTAAAATAACGCACGAATGTCCTTTCGGTAGCTTCCCAGCAATCGAAACCAAAACGCTTATACATTTGCTGTAAACAATTCTTAAATTATTTTTGGTGCAAGAGCAGGGATCTTGCACCAAAATATCGAGCTAGGTAAAACCGGAAAAAAATATTTGCACAATTTTGTGACTAGTGGCGAGAATTTTGCTTGCACCGACTTCAAATGCAAACCTTTAGCTGCTTGGCAAAATTTATAGGTAAATCATAGCGGTAGTTTTTTTTTAAGCGGGTGCCCGGTTCAAGATAATCTTAAGTAATCGCAATTTACCAAGGTTATAGGTATTTTGGTGCAAGACGTCTCCGAGGCCTCATCTAATCAAATCCTTAGCACCACACTCCACCAAGACAACGCAATAAGTGTTTTCCTAGCACAACTCCTTGGTGCAAATTTATTTTGGAAGCTGATTCAGAATGGGGAAAACCAGCCGGGTCAACTGCGGGAGTGAGAGGAGCACGCATAACCCTACTGTTCGATCACTACCTATCCATCAGCCAGCCTATCGGAGTACGATCCCCGACCACCGCCCATCAGCCCGCCACCACCTCTCACTGTGTGACCCCCGACCACTGCCGTCCCTTCCCGTCCCAGCCGACGGGACGGGCCCGGGTCCCACCATTCCGTCTGCGCGGGGAGCCCGGTCCCACCGGTCCCCGTGTCCGGAGACACTGAGCGTCGCGGACGGGTCCTTCAAAATGTCCAGCGGGCCGCGACAGGCCGATGAGCCGGCACTAACTCGGTGCGACAGAAATGGAGGCTGGACGGACGGTCGGAGAGACGGGGAGGGTAGTGGATGCCGGTGGAGACGCCGCCTGGTGACACTGGGTGGTGTCAGACTTACGATACTGGCCGGTGATATTGGTTGGTGATATTGGTCGGTGATATTGGTTGGTGACATTGGCCAGTGACCAACAGATGACGCCAGCAGGTGATGGTTAGGCAATATCACATTTTTTGATTGAAATGTGGACAACTAGTCGACAGAATGGTTCCCAATTTCGTCCCTAGTGGACGAATCCGTACCATTGTCTGAACTGAACTGACAGTAAATCGAACCGCTTCGAGAGGGTTTCAGGTGGATGCAACCGATATGATGTTGCGCTAATGTTTGGTGATCAAACAATGAACATACAATACAAACACCGAATACTAAACACTACAACTTGTACGTAAAGGAAGACAAATGTACGTAGATTTATTTACCTATCATACTTAATTGCAACATTTCGAGTCAAGCCTAAAGACGAACCCATTTGTATAGGTACGCCCTCGCTATTTGCGGTGGGTACAAAAATCTACCTCTGGTAAACGGTCGGAGGCTCGACTTCCCTCGACGTTTCATCTACATGTATGGTATCGTCAACCAGACGCCTCTTGCACCAAACTGCCTACCTAGGTAAATTCAAATTCTACCTAACTAGGTATTCTGGTGCAAGAGGCCTCAGGTCACCAATGCCATAGACTAGTACTGGAGGACTAACAAAGTGAGCTGTAAGATACGTCAGTGTCTTTAGTATGCAATCGGTGCCCAGATACCAAAAAAGGGTACCAGACACTTTCCTGTTCAATGGCAATTGTTTTCATGACTCGCCGACAAAGTTAATAAACTCTGCCAAAAAGGAAATGTGCGCCTTATACTTAACAACTTAAAAAAAAAAATCGGGCAAATAACTAGGTACTCCCGAAAAGAATGTTGCACCGGACAGCGTACATTTCGCGCCACTATTTTTCATTCTGCACTTATTCACACAAAATATATTTTTCACGAAATAACCGAATCACTGATTATTATATGGTTGCAATGTCAAATCGTTGCAGATTTTAGTCCTCACCAATCATTTCGCCAATCTACGTCACATCCTCTATCCTCTAGAAAACGGATGACTGATTTTCCCTATGCATATAGGTACCTGCCCTGCCTTCAATTGGTACCTATGTCCCTGGATAAATCTAAGCCAGTCTTTGTGCAGGACCGCTAAGATATTCATGCATGCAAGAACTTAAAATTCGGAAGAGATAAGTTGCAGCTGTCTCGGATCCGTGCGCTTAAACCTGGGAAAATCCTCCCGTCCACCATCTTAGCCCCAGCGAGCATGCAAGAGCCAATCGCAAGCGCTCCGAAAAATATTTGCATATCTCGCTGGCGAGTCGTGAGGTGCTGCTACCTGCAGGCCAGGCCGCGAACTACCTCACTAGCGCCGCTCTGCGGCCGGTGGGGTAACTAGCCAGTCCGCCGGCGGCCGCCCGGCGCGTCACATGCGGGGGCTCCGGAGAAGCCTCCAGAGCGAGGGACGGGAGACGAGACGGGGGCTGTACTCACCACACTCGGCCTGCTGCCAGGCCAGCGAGGCGCAGAGCAGCGCCAGCGTCTTCCCCGAGCCGGTGGGGCTCTCCAGCAGGCAGTTCTGACCGCGCTTCAGACCCTGCATTATCTGGAAACGGAGAGCGAGGGGAGGTGGATTGGATGATAGCCGGACAGCGCGGAGGTCGAACTCACTGGCCCACAGCCCGGCCCGCCGCACGGCCGGTTACACACCAAGGCCAACGTAAGCCTCAGATCTCCAGAAGGCACTCCGCGATAACGCTCCCTGGATTTGTTTGAACACTTTCAAGAAGATGGAAAGCGTGAATGTATGTATTTACGATCATGGGCGATCCACACATGGCGTGGCGATTGCTGCCCAGAACATCTTGGAAGATAAGATGAGTACAGGGGCGTAGGCAGGGGGGGGCCACTGGGCCATGGCCCCCCCCCCCCCCCCCCCCCCCTTGGGCGCCGAAGGCGCCCTTTGCGATTGGAGGGCGCCGAAGGCGCCCTCCAATCGCAAATGCAATTGTGATATAATCGAATCGAAAAACAATCGCGACTGGAGGGCGCCCTCCAATCGCGAATGTGTTTACAGGGAAAATACGGATGGAGGGCGCCCTCGGAGGACGCCCATTCCAAATACGCCCTCCAAATACGGTTGGAGGGCTCCCTCGGGCGCCCTCCAACCACATTTGTAGGCTGTAGCTCTCTAAGCGTAACGGTGGTCGCCTATGTAAGCCGCTGTCCCGTAAATAAGCGCCCTCTCACCCGAAGGCGCCCTCCTGTAGGTCGCCACCCTGCTACATATTGCCGCCCTTCTGCTGATCGGCGTCCTCATAATTATTGGCGCTCTCCTACCTATTGCCCCCTCATGTGAAATTTTCAAGGCCGCCTTTCTCCTTTTTGGCACCCTATTGTTCAGTGCCGCCCTCCTACCTATTGGTTCCCTAGTCCTTCCTGTTGAATGTTAATCGGGGCCCTTCTCTTATTGGCGCCCTCGTGTTGATCGCCGCCCTCCTAACCACTGGCACCCTCCTGTTGATCACCGCCCTCCTATCCACTGGTACCTGCCTGTTGACCAGCGCCCTCCGCACAGACGCCCTCCTGTTCGTGTCATCCTCTTGAGCAAAGGCGCCCTCCTCACCATTGCCACCCCCATTTTAATCGTCACCCTTCCGCTCATTAACGACTTCCAGTTGATGACCGCCCTCCCACCTATTGGCGACCTCTTGTTGATCGCCACCCTCCTATTGGTGCTCTCCTGTTCCTCGCCACCCTCTTACCTGGTGGCGCCCTCCTGTTGATTGTTGATCGGGGCCCTCCTACCTATTGGTGCCCTCCTGTTGATCGCTGCCCTTCTATCCATTGGCGCCCTCCTGCTGCTCGCCAACTTCCTACCTATCGATGCCCTACTATCGAAACTCGGGATGTTGATCGGGGCTCTCCTACCTATTAGCGCCCTCCTGTGGATCGCAGCCCTTCTACCTATTGGCAACATCCGTTGATCGCTGCCCTCTTATAATTTATTTACTCCTTTGGCATGTTTTTCAACTTAGTCGTTCTATTGCACATAGTTGATGTCTTGCCTGTGAAAACTGCCACAAATGAACGTGCATTCAGCACAATGAATGAAGTACCTATACCTACCAAAACTATCTACGCTCTACGATGCATAAAACACGTCTTTGGTCTTAACGGATTGATCCTACTTTACGTGCATCATGGCATCTATATGGATTACGATTAAGTATTGTCAACAGGTTCGGCCGCAACAGCAGGCATCTGAAGTTTCGGTGATTGAAACTGGTTATGTGGGTACACTGTATGCATCTGTGAGAAGGCTATGAAGGCTGGTCTGAGGTAATTTGGATGATGTTTACGCATCTCGCTCTCCGGTATCAATCCGATACGGTGATTTGGTGCGTAGATATGCCACCGCCAATAAACTTTTATACATCGACACCCATGAGCCAAGCTTTCTATACAGTTTGTGTGGCAGCGGCCCGACCAAACCTTAGGTATTTTTTACACCTTCAAATTTGGTAAAAGAGCGAGAGGAGCTTTGAACGGTGATCGTATAAAAGGCGTGCCTAAAAAGCGGAGGAAAAGGTTGTTTTCAAAAATTTCGCGCGCCTTCGGCGCAGCATTTCAAGAACACTTGACCTTTTGTGACCTGGAGTATAAAGAATACACACGATGCAAAATCAATGCAGCGCGACCTATACGAGGTTACGCAAAAAAAAAAACTGGTGGCATGGTAAAAAACGCCTCCCAACCCCCCCCCCCACCCCGCTGAGCGTTTTTTTATCTCGCGACCGTATGGCGCCCTCCTTGGGTGAGGTGGCGCCCTCCAAACCCTTGGCCCCCCCCTTCGCGATTTTCTAAATACGCCGCTGGATGAGTATGAGATGAAAACGAATCACCCAGACGACAGCCTAGGAAAATATATAAATATTCCACTTATCGTTTATGTATATTGTCAAATATTAGAAAGTCCCATGTTTTATGGGAAATTTCGAATCCAATCACAGTCCACACTTCACACATCCAATGCTGAGCTCCCTCGTTCTTCGCCTAAACGGCGTCATACTCGTATACCCACTGGCCACTACTCTTCCAGTTTCTCCCCTGTAATCGCACTATACTCTCTGATGACCGCAATATCGCAACTGCACCCACTCCATTGAACACCAAGCTGAACAAACCAAGCTGAATATTCTATCCACGCCACACTTTGCCCTCTCAGCGCCACACTGCGTCCTGCACTACGACTACCTCTGCACCCGTCCCTCAGCCGCCCGTCCGCTCATAGCCAGCAGAGCTAGGTTAGACCAACCAACCAGCTGGGCCCATTAGCGACCTGCCGGGCCAGTTTTAGGGGGTCGGCCGACATTCCATGGACTCCCAGTCGGCTCCTTAGCTGGTTCAAAGCAGACGACTGCCGAACAGTGTACGCACCGGGGAGACAACGACGCTCACACTCGTTCAAACTCAGAGACACAGGGCCGACATGTGACCGACAATAGGACACACAGGACCGACTTAGAGCAGACAGGACAGACACGGGAGAGACACAGGACACACACATGACGGGCATAAGATAGGCACAGGACCGATATATGTAGGGTAGACGGGACAGGCACAGGACAGTCACAGGACAGACAGGCATAGGGGAGACACAGGATATACACAGGACAGACACAGGACCGGCGTGTTACAGATACTGGGCTGAGTGGGCAGTGGGCAGACACGGGACGGTCACCAAAATGCATCGGACAGGCACAGAGTAAGCCCAAGACAAAGGAGGTCGCGCAGAGGACACCATCCCACTTCCCAGCCCTGTCGCATCCAGACAGGGCGCTATCACCACCGTAGTAAGAGCAATAGAAAGAACCTTCCAAGCCGCACATATCTGTTGTCGAGACCAGTATCAAATCCACCTCCTCCCGTCTCACCGTTCCTCACCTTTGCCATCATGGCCATCTGGCAGGGGTAGGCGTTCTCGGGGAAGGCCACCTTCACTCCGCTGATTGTGTAGTCGCGGCCCATGGCGGCGGCCTGCGGACAGAGGGACGGGCAGAACGTCAGACATAGGCAGAACATCACATACAGGCCAGAACATCAGATACAGGTAGAACATCAAACACGGGCAGAACATCAAACAGACAGAACATCATACACAGGCAGAACATCACACATGCACAGACAGAATATCAAACACAGAGCATTCCACACAGACAGAACATCACACACATACAGAGCATTCCACACAGACAGAACATCACACACAGACAGCGACCACATCAGGCTACGTACATACGCTACAACCAGTGGCCAAAGCCCGTAGGTGGACCGAAAGCGCCAGGTCAGGCTACGATTTTATGTCGATGAACGGGCGAAGACACCTACGAAGACACCTACGGGCGAAGACACAGATAGCGGGAGCCAAGCTATACGTCAATGTGGTGAAGTACCTACGTGAAGTACACGTATGTTGACGGTTTACCGATCATGTACTTGAGAGTCCCTGCCGGTCATAGTCATTCGGTTACAGTGCCCCAAAATAACTATGCCGATTCGTATGGTGAGTGACATCCAAATGAAAATCATTTTTCACTCTCACCTCAAATATCAAGACCAATTTTCCATTCTCTATTCCACCAAGAAGCACTTGCGTTGATGGTTGCATTACATTCCACTATATGCCCCATGTATATGAGTTAATGTTCTTGGTTCTTTTCCACTCATTTTGGGCCTTGACTGACTGACATTTTTCACTCTCATCCTCTATTTGGCGAGCAATTTTCCCCTCTGACATCCCAGCAAAAACGTACCGTGCGTTGGGACAATGTTCGGTAAGAGACACAGACAGAGGCAAATAAGAGATGGGGGGCAGCAGTTGTGCTGTGGATGGATTCAGAGGGCTGCGTCCGCTTGCCGGCCAGCAAAGTCCGCCAGAGGGACAGGAGCTAAACCGTTGCGCAGGGTGACCTAACGGCGACAAAAAGTTGCCTTCATTTCACCTTCGCGTGACTTTTGGATGATCGGGACCGATTTGGGGACGTTCTGGGTTAACCTTTGGATAAGCTTTGGGCGACCCAAAGGCGAAGTTGATCATGACTAGGGGTTGCCTTGAGGTTGTCTTTGGGTAGGTAACCTATGAGTCCCCCAAATGTCAAGTTGAAATGATCCGAGGTGCCCAGTTGTTTTCAAACGAGCTTAACGCCCAGCATCACACCATACTTTATACCCCACAAAGCACCACACAGCACCCGCGACCATCCAGTGCCGGCCGTCCCACCATATATGGCCAGCGGCTGTCGATACCGACGTGCCGCCAGCATGCCGTGCAGCAACCGCCGTCTGAGCGCCCACCCCACCCCACCCGTCCGTCCGTCTGTCCCCACCTCGCCGCTCCATCGGCTCCGATACGCGGCGCGGCGGCGCGGCTCGCCGACCGGGCATGCGATTCAGAGCGCCTGTTTGTGCACCGGTCTGTTCCCGGAGCTCAGAGGTGTGAGTCACCGAGAGGAGGTCCGATCGCCGTGAGAGCAGATCTCGTCTATCACCACTCGTCCGCTCTAGCCACTCGGCTGGTCTGCCGGGCTGTTGCTGCGCGCTGGTGTGGATGGCCGAAGGATGTGAGTGTCCGTAGGTAGGGGTGCCAGAGGGCTCTTTAGTTGCAATGGGCAGGAACAGGTACTGGGCAGGAACAGGAACAGGTAACAGGTTGCAACGGGCAAGTGACATGTAACAGGGCTGTCCCTTCCCCCACCAATCTTTGCAACCATTAGTGCACCTGTTTTATCTTCGCCTTTGGCTAAAAGCAAAAGATTCACCGCCTCTTTTAATAATCCAGTTTCTCCCTCACCATCCAATGAAATAAACCACCAACTATCCCTGCCCAGTGCCCACCCACCACACATCATCCTTCACTGCCCCATCCCACCCACCAACCGCCCAACATCCGTCCCCGTCCCATCACCCACCACCCGTCCCGACGCGTTCAACAGCCGTCCTCTGGCCATCCTCTCTGTGGGCGTGTGACCATAGCGGAGCTGTGTGAGACGTCCGTCTCTGACCAGCTTCTCTGTGACACGCTGGTCTGTGACCATACCCGCCCGGCCGGCCCACTCTCCGAGCAGAGCCACATCAGACGGACCGCCGCAGGCCCAGCCGCCTATTGGATTACGATGACAGACGCGCGCCGCAGAGGCGGGTGCACGGCCCGCCGCCGTGGCGGGTGCACGACCCGCCGCCGTGGCGGGTGCACGGCCCGCCGCCGTGGGTCACTGAGGTGCACACTCGCCGGGAATGCACGGTGGACCACCGCCATCGGCCGGCGCTCCGCTGGGGGGGGGGAGGTCCCCATGGGACACTCGGCAGAGATGAGTGGCTAGATTAGGGCACCAGTCGACTAGGTGCATGGCAACACTGTTACAAATTGCAAGGAGAAAGGGATAAAAAGCGGGAAGGCTGTCAGTACCCGGAAAGAGGCGACAGGAAGTACTATGTGAATATCGAATGGAGCGTAATTGAAGTGCCACTGTCGCCTAATCAGTACATTGGCGGCAAACAGTTACTCGTCAGGGAGAACAATAGAACAGCAGTGTATTATTATTCCAAGAAAGTCACATAACCCAGCAGGCCAGCGTCATGGCGAATCTCCAAATAAAGAGCACAAGGGCGATTCCTGTAGGTCACAACTGTTCCAATAGCACCTGCCTTTTCTCGAAACACGAGCCACCACGTGTTCGCACGTGAACACCCAACACCCATGTTAATAAAGACAATGATAACCCTAACGCTCCGCTCCATTTGGTCAGCAACAACATACCAATATCACGTAATTTCAACAGACTTCGATTGGCTATCCATTTTGGAATTTGCCAACGTTTCCGGGGCGATGCAGATATGACTGCATGCCGCACACGCAACTCTGCTCCGATTCAATGCGATTTGCACACAATGTGCATGGCTAGCGGCTGAGGTGAGCCGTCCGCTTGGATGCCATCCGAAAGTGTCAACCAGGAAAGACGGCTCGTAAAAATATCATCTGCATTCTCGACAGACTGGCTAACTTTACAGAACAGTAGTCGCTGAGAACACGACTATTGCGTGGCGCTGACACTACGAGGAAACTGCCGGGCGCCGGAGGTATGGACGTCTTACAGGCCAGTTCAGTGGAACGGCGGCCGGTGGAACGGGCCGGCACGGAGGCAGCCGGCGCCACCCACGGAGCACTCGGACCTCAGATTTACAGCCCGTCCACGGCGCCGCGGCAAATGTGAAAAGTTACACGAGCCGTGCCGACCGCATCTGATACAGAGCGTTTGCAGAATCGCCACCCCATTTGCTATTCGCTGCGCTCCCCAGCTTCTGGCTAGTGAGCTTCTCCGTTATCCCGCTTCTGCGTAGTCGTTATGACTATTCCATTGTCAGTGTCGCCAGCCCGAGCCAGCATCCGGCAAACAGAATGAAACCGAAAGTTATGAATTCAACTGGTTCACGGACCTTCTTGGCGAAGAAATAGAAAACGGCATACATTGCTAGTAGCGGTCTTGCAATAGTAGACACTATTGCAATTATCCGACAGTGTTGTTTTATCGTAAGCAACATCACCAATCACCAGTATAGGTTAGGTACTAGCTGATTGCCGTACCTAAATCTAGCGGAACAGGTTCCAATCACAGGCCTTATTCCAAACATTTCATGTTTGTCTAATGTTCCGTTCAGTGTTCTGTCCCGACCAGAGACCTCATTTGTCCAGATATTCTACCCCGCATATGATGTCGCCGTTTTGACCTATTTCACAAATATCTCGTTCTATCCAGTTCCGGCCCACTCTGCCGCCCTGTCCTGTCTGCCGGTTGCAGTGCCTCCCCCCCCCCCCCCCTAGAGCAGGCGGCTGCTCTGAGAGGCCTGCTGGTCGGCGCGCGGCACGCCAAAGCGGCGCTCCGCCACTGCGCCGATCCGTCACCGCGCCGGGTTCGCCGAACCGGGCGGCGGCGGCGTTTGAGGCGCACCGACCGGGCCGGCCGGACCGCCGCCGACACCTCAGCAGCTACTGGTTTTACGGCCCGGGGGCGGCCAGCGGCGGCGGCAGCGACGGCAGCGCGGCCGGCCCGGCACGGCGTCACAGCACCGCTGAGACGGCGTCACACCACCCCCGGCAGCGGCGACTGGCCAGCATCCCAGGCCAGGTGGGTGTCCGCCTCCCCCTGGGCGCGCCCCTGGCCAGCATCAGATAGTGGGTCGTATTATTCGTCGGCGCTTTATGGAGCTGGTCTATCACGTCCAGAGTGGCAGGCGGCGGCGGCGGCGGGCGCAGATCGCTATCTGTGACCGACACACGGCCGCAGCAGCCGCTCGGTTCTGCACCGGACAGCAGCCGCGCCGGTGGACAGAGGACACCGGACAGCGGCACGGCAGAGTGGGCTCTGAGCCGCACAGCACCCGCCGGACGACTGAAGGGGCACCGGACAGGGGCACGGCAGAGCGCAAACTGGACGGAGCGGGCGTAAGCGTGAGCGGTACTCGGGCTAGATGACAGAAGTGAATCAAAAGCGCGGAGGTGAAAAAGTATCAAATACAATACGAGACGGCGCGTAAGCAGGTGCCACAGGGCATGTAGACGCTAATACTCCAGCTCGATTTCGGACAGGCAGAGAGTGGCAGCGGACACACGGCCATACGGGCTATGGACAGACGCTCCGCCTACCGGACACAGCTGAACAACAGGCGGACGCTTGACAGATGAGAAATGCAGGCGGATGGGATGGGCAAATTGGAAAACATCTGAAGAGGAGCAAATACTTTTGATAGGCCAGGCTGATAAATGATCATGAGCCTCCTTAGATTTGTATGACAGAGAACTGTTTCATAGAAAAAATAGACTGGATGAAAAGTTATAAGTTCGAATGACATGATAAAGTATGTCGAGGTCATGTGTCGGGTTTCAAGCTTTTGTTGTGAGAAAATTCCGCTTAGGACGACATACACACTGCGCAGGTGAATACATGAACATTCACCGTCTCCACCTCGTCACTTTGCCGACC